AAACAATCAAATACTTAGGAATACATTTAACCAAGGAAGTGAAATATCTATACGTTATAAACTATATACACTATAAACAACTATAAAACTTTGGTGGAAGAGATTGAAGAAGACACAAATAAATGGAAAGACATACCATGTTCATTTATTGGAAGAATTAACATTATTAAAAAGTCCATACTATCCAAAGCCATCTATAGATGCAATGCAATCCCTGTCAAAATTACAACAGCATTTTCCACTAGAAAAAACAGTCCAAAAATTTGTATGGAACTGCAAAAGACCCAGAACAGCCAAAGCAATCCTGAGAAAGAACAAAGCTGGAGGCATCTCACTTCCTGATTTCAAACTATACTTCAAAGCTATAGTCATCAAAACAGTGTGGTATTGACATGAAAACAGACACACAGACCAATGGAACAGAATTGAGAGCCCAGAAACAGACTCTTGCACATATGTGGTCAGCCAATATTTGACAAGGGAGCCAAAAATTCTCAACGCAGAAAGGATATTCTCTTCCATATATGGTGTTGGGAAAACTGGATAACCGGGAGAATGAAATTGGACTCCTATTTTCCACCACTCACAAAAGTTAACTCAAAATGTACTAAAGACTTAAACATAAGGCCTGAAATTGTAAAACTCCTAGAAGAAAACATAAGGAAAAAGCTCTTTGACATTGGTCTTGGCAATGATCTTTTTGGATTTGACATCAAAAGAAAAAGCCACAAAAACAAAAATAAACAAGTGGGACGACATCAAACTAAAAAGCTTCTGCATGGCAAAAGAAATGACTGACGAAATGAAAAGCAGCCCATGGAATGGGAGAAAATATTTGAAAATCATATGTCTAATAGGGGATTAATATCCAAAATATACAAAGAACTCATACAACTCAATAGGAAAAAACTGAACAATCTGATTAAAAAGTGGGCAGAGGATTAGAATAGGCATTTTCCCAAAGAAGACATACAAATCGCCAATTGGTATATGAAAAGATGTTCAACATCACTTATTATCAGGGAAACGGAAATCAAAAACACAGTGAGACATCACCTCACACCTGTTAGAATGACCATGATGGAAAAACAAGAGGTAACAAGTATTGGTGAGGACATGGAGAAAAGGGAACTCTGTGCACTGTTAGAGGGAATATAAACCGGTGCAGCCACCATGGAAAACAGTATGCAGATTCCTCAAAAAATTAAAAATAGAACTACCATAAGATCTAGCAGTCCCATTTCTGGGCATATATCCAAAGGAAATGAAAACACGCTCTTGAAGAGCTATCTACGCTCTTGTGTTCATTGCAGCATTATTCACAGTATCCAAGACATGGAAACAACCTAAGTGTCTGTCAACAGATGAATGGGTAAGGACGACATTATATATATAATGGAATATTATTCAGCCCGGAGAAAGAGGAAATCCTGCCATTTGCAACAACATGGATGGATCTTGAGGGCTTTATGCTAAGTGAAAAATAAGTCAGAGAAAGACAAATACTGTATGATCTCACTTTCGTGTGGAATCTAAAAAAGCCAAATGCATAGAAACAGAGAGTAGAATGGTGCTTGTTAGGGGCTGGGGGGGTGGGAGAAATGGGGAGATGTTGGTAGGAGGGCATAAACTTCCAATTATGAGATGAATAAGTTCTGGAGATCTAAGGTACCGTATGGTGATTATACTTAACAATACTGCATTCGATAGTTGCAAATTGCTGAGACTGGACCCTAAATGTTCTCACCACAAAAAAGAAACAGTAATTATGTGAGGTGATGGAGATAATAGCTAACGCTATGGCGGTAACCATTGGTAATGTGTAAGTGCATCAAATCGACACATTGTACCCCTTAGACTAACACAATGTTGTATGTCAATTTTATCTCAATAAAGCTGGAAAAATTATTTTGGGATGCATCAATCGCCGTTATTTTAAAATTTACATCAGATAACTGACATCTGCATCACTCGTAGGTTTGTTTCTATTGTTTTCTTTTCCCCCTGATTCTGTTTTTGGTATTTCTGTTAATATTTGTTTGAATACTGGCTATTGTAAATGAAATACAGCCGTGGCTCTAGGCGATATTATTTTCCTTCAGCAAATATTCACTTCATGCTCCAGCAGTGATGGGGAGGAAGAATCGGTCTCTGATTTTGCCAAGGCTCCACACTTGTAAAGATTGGTCTGCATCTGGCAATCCCCCTCATTTAGGCTATTGCCTTTCCAACCAATCCCCTGGATGTTTGTCAAAGCTGGTCTTTCTGTGTGGGTTGTGAACTCCAATTTTTATTTCCCCAGCACATGAATCTCTGATCAATTGCAGTTCAGATCTTTTGCCTGATTTCTTTGTCTGTAGCCTTGTGCTGCTCAAGCCTGGATGTGCACGGGGAGGGTGGGAGAGGAGACGGCCACGGTGTGCCTGAGTCTCTGCGCCTCCCTGCTCAGCCATCTGGACCCTCATGTCGTGCATGAGCAAGCTGGAGCTCCCAATTCTCCCTCTTATTCTCATGACGATGCTGCATGCTCTGTAGGTTTCTCAGAACTTCCAGGTGGTCCCCAGCCCAGCCCCCAGGGCTCTCCTCCTGTGCCTCTGCAGCTCCCCGCAGCTGGGGCCGCGCCGCAGAGCATGGGCTGGCCGCACAGCGCCCGCCTGCCTGCTGGGACCGTGGACCCACTGGCCCTACCTCTTCTGTGCCAGGACTTCTGGTTTTGTTTCGCACTTGTGACATATTTACGTTTGGTTGCCCTTGGTGGAGTGTTGTGCGACGAGCCGCTCCGTCGTAACTGGAAGCAGAAGTCCCCCAGAGCCAATACCTTGACCAAGGTTTACCTGACTCAGAATTCCCTAATCTTCCTGCTCTAGCAGGATTCAATAGCGAGTTTTCATGCAAATATGCCCACAAATAAAAATCTGTTGATAAGAGATGCGTGCATACAAACACACCAACTCACACTTCTCATGAATCATACCCAGGCTTTCCTATTTTTACTGCATGCATCAGAGAACAGTTGCTCTGGGTACTTTTGAGGGGAGGGTCTAAGTCCCGATTTAAATACAAGTAGGAAAATGACATCTCCACACGAGGCCTGGCCTTTCCTAGGTCCTGGGTGGCAGCCAGCTTTCACAGACGTGTGGGGAGAACCAGTCTGCTGGACGTCCATGACCAGCGCCTGGGGTCTCTGGCCCCGTCACCCAGAATGGTTACGAGCTCATCCTCACCATATAGCGACGGCTATGTCCTTGGGGTGCTTTCTGCTTTCCAAAACGCCTTACAGCTGTGGACCCCTCCCCAGCTTTGTGAGGCGGGTGGGTCTGCGGGGCTGGGGGGAAGGGGTGCTTCAGCTCCCAGCCCCTGGAGCCACATCTGCTCAGGGAGCACCCGCCCTTCTCCGCTCTGTGTCTCTGTCCTCTCCCCGGGGCTCGGGCCTGCTACTGGCAAACACCCCACTGCCTCTCCCGCAGCCCTCCCTGCTGCCTGCTGTCCCGGGCTCTTCTCTCGGGCTCCCTTCAGGCCTGCACAGGCTCGTGAGCCTCCGCGGGCCTCACCTCTCACCACGTCTCACCCGGCCCTCTCCCTCCAGCCACACCGCATTTCTTGGAGTTGCTCGACCCTATCAGGATCTCTCATACCTCCGCTGCAACCCTGAGCCTTCAATGAAATGCTCCTCCCTCCCTCCCTGCCTTCCCCAGCCTCTCTGCAGTTGAAGACGTCACCTCAGGGAGGCCTTCCCGGATCCCCCGCTGGGGGAGCTGGAGATGCTTGTAGCTGGGCACCCATGGCCGCTGACAGTCACAGCGCTCCCTCCCCTGGCTGTGGTTTATGGTCTGTTTACGTCTTGTTTGGGTCTCCTGCAGTGCCCCTGCCCCTGCCCAAGGAGTGGCCCTTCCAGCGGGATGGGATGCTGCTGCTGAAGTCAGCCTGCTTCCGGCCTGGCCGCCAGCTCCAGGGGGAGTAGCAGCAGGGCCTAGGGACACACGAGGTCTTGTTGAGGAGCTAGCCCATGGGTCCTGGGAGGATTTCCATGGACTGCAGGAGGAGAGGGGAACTAGCATGTAGAATCTGGACCCACAGCATGAGCAAATATGGGATGGCAAATATGAACCCAGTGGGTTCGAGGGTCAGGGTATACCAGCGTGGCCACAGCATTGCATCCCTGTCTCCATGCTCAGATGGGGAAACTGGATGCAGAGGGGGCAACCCAGAGCCTTATTGTCAGAACCAGGATTTGAGTCCAGGTTCTGGGCTGCCTGTCCACAGCTCTAGCCTCAGGCCCGCTTCCCTCAGCCCCCAGGAGCTGACCTGCTGACCAGGGCCCTGGACCTGGTGGCTCAAGTTTGCTGGAGAGGTTCCATTTAGTCTCAGGGGAGAGCCTGGGCTGAGGCCGAGAGGCTGGGAGAATCTGTGAGTGGGGCACGGGGTTGAGGGGAAGGTGCCAGGCTGGGCCTGGGGGACAAGGGGATTCCATTTAACCTGGTGGCCTCGGGGGCCAAGAAGGAAAGGGAAGTGGAGGGAGATGGAGGAAGAGGGTGCAAAGTCTTCCCACAGGCAGAGCCAGGGGAACTTCATTGCCAGCAGCACCAATGACCCCCTGGGGACCTCAGTGTGACATCTTGGCTAGGACGCGGGTGAGCTCTGCTGTTACTGTGACTGGAGCCTGTTTCCTGTGCTCTTCTGCCACTCCCTGCTCTAGCTGGGGCCTTCAGCTGGTGTCTTGCTGCCTCTGCTCCACACTCAGACACAGGGACCCCTCGAGGGACCCAGGCCACCCCTGCCGTCGTCTCTGGTGTTGGAATTAGGTGAGGCTGTTGAGAGCCTATGCTGCCACCGCTGCTGGGACCAGGAGAGTGGCAGAGTGGTGTTTCTGGAAGGGAAGGGTGGGGACCAGTGGGGGAGGGTGAGGAGATGGAACAGTCCCACGGGACCACGTGGGGAAGACCAGAGTGCTGGCCGAGTTTGCCCAGGGCCCAGCAGGAAGGAGATGGCACAGTCCATCAGAAAGTTAGGAGGGTGTTTTAATGACGGACATTTACAAGGCACGGGCGCAGGGAAACCGCAAGAGAATGTGCGATCTCCTGGGCCTCGGAACTTCAGAGCTGTTACCACCCCAGGTAGGAGGGGTCAGGGGAGGGAAAGTTACCGGAACCCAGAGACGAGAGAGCTTCCTAACAGCAACTGCGGCCTCTGCTCAGTTGTGGGAGATGAGTGGGCTGCCAGGTCCCTGCTGAGACAGAAGAAGCTGGCTTTCCAACCCTGACCCCTGCGGGGCCTCGCCTCTGACCCCCTGACCTCCAGCTGGCCGAACCCAACCAGGAGCTGAGGCCAAAGGGGCCATGTGGGTAGCCTGTACGGGTCAGGGAGCAGGGTGGCAAAGAGTGGAGAGTGAGTCTGCAGAGGGACAATGGCAGCTATGGGCGGAGGACACTTTGTGCATCTGGTAGGGACCCAGAGCTCGGCAGCTGCTGTGTCCTGGGCCCCTCGCCCCCGCTGAGTCTGCTCACACTGGCAGGCTGATGGGTGGCCCTTGTGAGTCCTGACCCTGGATCCTACTCTGTTCTGGATGTCAGACTCCAGGAGCCGGAGCTGGGGCCTCCAGCCTTCCTACCCCCAAGGCAGACGTGGCATTCCCTCTGTGGGGCCGTGGATTCCTGCAGGGGTCCCCTTGCCTAGTACCTCTTCTGCCCTCTTCTTCTTCTTCTTTTTGCGCCAGCAAACGTAACATCTGGGCCAGGAAACAGGGCGGAGCTGGGTCAGTCAAGGAGTAGCTGTGTCTTCCTCAGGGACGCTGGGGCTTGGAGAAGTCACTCACCCACCTCCAGCTATGGCTGCCAGGGGCAGAGCAACGCCGAGGCTCACAGCCCACACGAGGGTCCTCCTGGTCACGGCTGGGGGTGTGAAAGGGGAGCCAGGCGTTAGGGGAACAGTCAGCGCCGGCCTGGCTCAGAGAGCTGGCCACATTCTTCTCTTCTTTTACTTGCTCACTCAGTCACTCGCCTGCAAACACTTACTGGGCACCTACAGTGTGCCCGGAATACTTTAGAGACGAGTGAGACAGGGCCCTGCTCTCTAGGAGGGAGACAGGCAAACAGTCACGGTGTGCTGTCCCAGGGAAGGGGACAGGGCAGAGGAGAAGTGGTCACGAGGGGGCTGATAAGCCTTAGGGGGTGGGTGGGAGCTGGTGGGGGAAAGCTTCCTGGGCAACAGGACTTCCGGCTGGACTTTGAAAGACAAGTAGGAGTTCAGTTCAGAGGGTCAAGAGGCAAAACTGTGTTCCAGGCAGCAGACACGATGTTCAAGGACAGAAGCATGAAGGTGTCTAGTGTGTCAGCAGCTCAGTGTGGCTGGGGAGTCAGGGGCGGTGGGAGGTCAGCAGAGACAGCTCACACGGGGCCTTCCGGGAGGGTGCGCTTTGTCTGGGGGCAATTGGGAGCCACTGAAGGTTATAAAGAGGGAGTGTTATAGCTAGGATTTGCTCCTTGAGAAAGTTCTTTGGTTGCTGAGGAAGATGTGGCCAGGAGGGGCAGGAAGACCAGCTAGGAGATGTTGCCATAACCCAGGTGACATGAAGATGCCTGGAGAAGAGTGGTGGACATTGGGATGAAAATATGGCAACATATTTAAGAATCATTTAGGAAGACTTGGTGATTATGTGTGCTGAGTAAGGGGGAGGGAGATTCCTGGTTTAGGAGGTTGAGGGCGTGAGTGGGGCTGTTTGCTGAGGGGTCCCCAGGGGAGAGCAGATTTTGGGGTGGTGATGGGCTGGGACATGTCTCCAGGCATGCTGGCTTTGAGGACCTGAGGACCTCCAGTGGAGATGTCCTGGAGGCAGGTGGCCCTATGGCTCTGAGGCTGGACACGTGGAATTGAGAGATCCCAGAAGGGGCTACCTTCACCAGTGAGGATGGAGAGCAGGAAGAGGTCAGGGCTGGGCAGAGGAGGAAGACAGTTCAGATAGAGACAACAATGGGCCTGGGGGTGGAGTGGGGGAAGCAGGTGGCCGGATGGACCACTGACCTGGGCAGAGGGTGGGGTCCTTGCAGGTGAGGAAGTGTGTCCTGCAGTTGGCACAGTTGATGACCTCCCGTGGGAAGTGTAGGTCTGTGAGAGGATGGGCAGGAACCTTAGAGAGGTCCAGGCGCCCCTCACCCTTTGCCCAGGCCCCGTCCGCAGAGATACTCACCACAGGATGTATTGCAGGCTGCCCGGGAGGGTGAGACGGTAGAGAAACTGAGGCGCGGGGGGGAGGCAGACAGAGCCGGGAGGGGTCAGGGTGTGAGCAGGAGGTGGAGCTGGGGAAGGTACGGACAGGTGCCCAGTAGGGGGCAGGGATGGGGCTCCTGGGGGAGGGGCCTGGAAGGGGGCCACAGATTGGACTCTGCTCTCCTCGAGGCTTTGGGGAGGTGGAGGGCTGGGCGGTGAGGGGGCCGGGCCGTGGGCAGGGGCCAGCCCCACCTCTCACCCTTCTCCATCAGCTCCTCGGATACTTCATCCAGCCTCTCGCAGAACAGCTGCTTATGGACTCGAATCTCTTCCAGAAGTAACGGTTTATCTGGGTGGAGTAGGAGGGACAGGGTGCGTTTAATCACCCACATTTCACAGGTGGAATCAATCACGTAGCTTTCTCAAGGTGGGGAATTCAAACCAGTTTTCCTAAACAGAAACTCCGTGCAGCACCCAGAGAGACTCTGCATCCGTCTCCCCACCCAGGCCAACGGGGTCCTGGGGAACGCCCCGCAGCCGGGCATTCTTAACCCAAGCCCTGGGCCCTGGACACGCGGCTTCCTCACCATCTCGCAACTTCTTAATGGCTTGATCTACGTGATCGAACAATTTGGCTGTTTCTTCCTCCAGATGATCCTCATCTGAGATTGGGATGCAGGACAAAGGGAAGTCAGGGGAGGAAGACCCCAGGCCAGGTGCAGAGCCAGCCTCCCTGCCTCGTCTCCGGGCTGTGCCTCACCAAGATACCAGGCTTCCGGGGAGTCATGAGCCTCCAGGAACAGGGAGTGGAGGCTCTGGGAGAGCTCTGCGGGGGGCCCTGGAGTGCCCCAAAGAATCTGCAGGTCGTAGTCTATCAAGGCTGGCAGTTCTGGCCAGCAGTGGAAGCAGCTCCTCCCGTTGGCAGCAGGCAGGAGACAGCCAAGCAGGAGAAGCAGCATCTTCTGGGGTCTTCTCTCTGTGCCCTTCTCACCCTGTCGGGCAGTTCCACATGGAATGCTGGTGCCCTGTCTCCCCGGGAACCCCATTCTCTTTGAAGAACACAAGTAAATTCCACAGGGTAAGGTGAGGGCCAGCCATGGCACGAACCCAGGCTTTGGTGTCAGACCCAAGTCGGGGCTTCTGTATCCTCCTCTGAAGATGGAGTCACAGATGGTCCTCAGGGAGGGTTCTTGGGAGGATCAGAGGGATGGCTGCGCTGCCTTGTGGCTGGTGCTCGGCTCTCTTGATGGCATTTACCGTGCATTGAATAGTTCAACAGGCTGAAATTTGAGAGGCCGGGAGAAGGCAGCACAGAGGGATCATTTTTCCTCACACATCTTTGTCACGGCACATGAAAACTGCAGCTGTCTTTTGCCTGGCCAAGCCAAAGGGGCGTGGACAGCCGCTCCCACCACAGTGTAGACAGAAGTCCAGCCGTCTTTGGGGCAGCAGTTCTTGTGTGCAACATGCACTGAAGAAAAGAAAAACTCTGTATTCTTCAGTAGTGAAAAAGCCGATGGGACCCTTGTCACTCCTCAGCTGGTAAGCTTAGTCCTTCCACACTGTGCTTCTAGCCAGCTTCTGAGTGCCTCAAGCTGGATTATGGGCAGCCGGAAGCCATCAGGCATTTGAGGAATGCTTCTAACAGGAACAAGAGAAAAAACCAATAGCAAGAATTCAAAACAAAAGCAAACAAAAACCACAGGGAAAAGAAAGGGTACAAAGATATGGTGGGAAGCAGAAGAAAATGTAGAACCCACTACAATTAAATAGACAAAGTACTGCTTTCCCCAAACAAGAAGAGGCTGCTCTGTGAAAGGAAAAGTCAGAGAGCAAGAAAGAATTGTTGTAGATTAAAGATACGACAGCAGGAATTTAAAATTTCATAGAAGTGTTGGGGATAAAGTTTCAGAAATCTCCCGGGCAGCGGTACGAAAAGACAGAGTTGAGAAATCGGGAAGAAAAGGTAAAATTAGACAATTGGTTCCTGAGGTCCAGCATCCAGCCAACACAAGTTTCAGAAAGAAAGCACAGAGACAACAGGGTTGGGGGGATGGGGGGGAGGAAGTTATTTATAATAGAAGTCCGGTGGGAGGTACAAACAGGCGCAGGGATGGGGAGAAGGGGCGATGGGGTTTGCCCGAGGAAGCCGCGGTGGCCTGGGTGAATTCAGGCCGCACTGGTGGCGGGGATGCAGCGAGGAGATGAGTCCAAGTCCTGCTGAGCCTTGCTCTCCCACTGCCTCTGGGCAGGTTTGGGGTGAGGGGATGAGCCTACTGTTTTCTGCTCAGGGAATGCTTCTGGAAAGGAAGGCCCTGATCCCCGGGAACCAAGGCTGGGAAAAGCAGGTGCTCCCTGCCCCAACGCTTGGGTGGGGTTCAGAGGTACACAGCATGCGAGCCTGCTGCTTACGACCTTCACCACCACCCCTTGGGTCACCCACCCAGCCTGGGTGTGGAGAGGAGAGAACAGGGAACTGGTAGAAATGCTTCAAGGAAGAAATTTTAGAGCTGAAAGACATGAATTTCCAGATTGAAAGGGTCCTCTGAGAAGGCATCCAGTGCTAGGAATAAGAAAAACACAGAAAAAATGGACCCTGTACAGGGACCAGTAATCAGAATGTCTTCAGGCTTCTCAAGAGCCATCTAAGAAAGCAGTGGACAGTGGAGCAATGCTTTCACGCTCTGAGAAAAATAGTCCCATCTTGGAATTCTTCACTCAGTAAAACACCAATCAAAGAGGAAGGAAGACGAATGCTACGTCAGCCAGGGGAGGTTTAAAACTGACCTCTGCTGCCTTTTCTCAGGGAGCTGCTGGTGGATGTGCTCCAACTAAATGAGCAAATCAAGCAGGAAAGCTGGTGCCATGGGAGTCAGGAAGTGGAGGAGCTCATCCTGCAGAGAAGCGAAGAGAACTTCCATCAAACAGTCAGAGGACACCCCAGGATGACAGACAGTCCAGACTGGCTCTCCCTGGCTGGAGAAAGGTCTGGAGTGGGTGGCCTAGGTCAGCTCCCTCCGGGCATTGGGTTCCTTTCCTGGCTTGCTTTGGTCTATTGACTCGCTTCTGCTTTTCCCTGGCGGGAATAGCCTTTTCTCAAATTAGAAGTGATGAGGTCCTAGCCTCGGGCTTTTGTTTTGGAGTGAAGTGATTAGAGTAGGTGTTTAGCGTGATTTGGCGTTAGGCTGTCAGGAAACCCCTGCTTCAGTAAGAGAGTGTTCGACAGGGGGCAGTCATGCCTGGCAGAATTCTGCCTGAGGTTTGGCAATAAAGCCTAGAGTGTGCTGGCATCTTCTCTTTCCTTGGTTCATGCTTTTCCTTTGGGAGGCTTGCAAGGAGGGCAGGATTCAGGTGTCACCTTGTCCCTGGCACAATACCATCTCAGATCACCCCCACAGCCTTAGCCTCAATCAGCTGAGGTGGTACTGACTCTTTGAAGTGACATTTCAATGTAGAGTCACAGAGGCTGTGGGCTGGGGGAGCTTTGAATCCCCCCACCGCCATGATTTGTATCATCTCTCCACCTATTCGTTTTCCAGTCTCTGCTTGTTTGCCTTGATTTCTCCTATTTCTAATTTAATTCAATTGTATGTTGTGTCCTTGGAATGAATTAGAAATTTTAACTGAATTAGGAGTCTAAATAATAAGGTAGCACTCCATTGCTAGGCATCTTGGGGTGTGAGAACCTCTTCCTTATGTTGAGACCACATCCATCTGTGCCTCCAGCCATTTGGGCACATCTAATACTTCTGACACGGGATAGCTCATCCAGGGTTTGAAGACAGAAATCAAACTTCTTTTGGGGCCGAACATCTTCCCTCTGACCCAAGAGTTCCTTTACGTTCCCACCCTAGCAGATGGTTTCACGCCTCTCTCACCTTCTGATGGCTCTCCTCTCAGACCACCTCTCTGTCTTTGGCTGGACAGAATTTGCAGCTAGATCACCTTTGACGCTGGCAAAGTTTGCATTTGATACCCTCCTGCTTCCCCTACCAGTACAGATTTCCCCTCATATTAGTTTCCTATTGCTGCATAACAAATTGCCACAGACCTAGTGTCCTAAAACAACACCCATTTATCCTCTCATGGTGCCTATGGGTGAGAAGTTTGGGCGCGGCTGAACGGGGTTCTCTACTCAGAGTTTCACAAGGCTGAAATCGTGATGTTATATATCATAGCCTAATCATAGGAGTGAAATCCCCGTATTCACAGTGCCGCCTCATGCTCATGGGGGGAGGATCATACTGGGTGCGGACACCAGGCACGGGAATCCTGGGGACCATCTCAGAATTCTGCCTACTACACACTAAACGCCAAAGATCTGCTCTTTGGACCTGTAATGGGGTCTTCAGCCCCTCTCCCCACATGATTAGTCACCAATTTGGGCTAAGAAATTGTGCCTCCCCACAGCCCCTTAGTGTGAAGGTAAGCCAGTTGGAGGCACAGCTGCAGGGCCATCCTGACGCTGACTACTTGGAGTTAGCGCATACTCGGCAGGTTAAGGGCACCGTCCTTCACAAGACTGCTCTCCCTTCAGACACCAGCCACAAGCTCTGGGGTCCCAGGCCATCTTCACTTCTGACCGATTGGCTACAAATATGGGAATTCTCACTATCCCCTCAGCTTTAATAATTCACTAGAAAGGCTCACAAAACTCAGGAAAGCACTATTCTCATGATCACAGTTTTATTATAAAGGACACAAATCAAGATCAGCCCAATGAAGAGACACAGAAGGGAAAGTCTGGGAGGGTCCAAGATGTGACGCTTCGGTGACCTTGGGATGTGGCACCCTCCTGGCACACTGATGAGCATCACCAATCAGGGCTCACTTGAGCCTCAGCATCCAGAACTTCTATTGGTGTTTCGTTCCGTAAGCATGGTTGATGGAATCACTGGCTACATGACTGGGCTTGATCTCCATCTCTCTCCCTCCCCTGGAGGTTGGGCTGATGTCATGTAGCTCGAGTCCCAACACTCTTGGTCTTTCTGGCCTGGCCGGCCCCCACCCTGAGTCATCTCCTTAGCATAAACTCGGCACTAATTGCACCGTAAGTAGCAAAGACACTCCAATCATTCAGAAATTAGAAGCTACCTCCTAGGAACCAGGGACAAAGGCCGGCCAGATTCTTCACTGGACAGCAAGAGCACATCCAGTCCTCTTTACTCGTTAACATTTTGGCTTGAATTCACCTGGATCTAGGCTTTGTAATGCTTCTGGGTTCTCCTGGAATCTTCTGAGAGGTTCTCAATTTCCAGGTGCAAGCATTTGATTCATGGCTGCTGAGTTGTGGGGATATTAGGCTAGTAGCAGTGAGAGATCTGGGGACAAGAAGAACATTATGAGGGCATCTATCTTCGAGAAGTGCATGACCAAATTAACTCACTTGGTTGGCAAAACTGTTTTAGAGGTTATTGACTGGTAAATCCTGATCAGTTCTTACAAGGAAACTTGGTTGAAAGAATGTTTTATAAATCTAAGAGGTTGGTATCTGCTTGGTCAATGCCTTTACAAGAGGCTGGATTTAGTTGTTTGATTTTTTAACGAAAAAATTAGAAAAAAATCCTGACCAGATGACCTATCATAAATGAAATATTCATTTCATTTTCTTTCCGGTTAAAACTCCTGTCTTGAAACGCTTTGTTGTATCTACTTAGAATGATCAATGGCGACGCCTGGGGGGATTTCTCCTGCAGAATTTGATGGTAGAGAACATTAAAATTGCATGAAGTCACTCATGTAATTTTAATGACCATCACAAGAATTTTGACTGGAATTGGGAGGAATTTGAAATGAGATGCTTCTTCCGGGAAAGGTTGAAGCCACCATCCTTTGGTACTCAAGGAGGCAAGCTCAGGCATCTGTAGAACAACCCCCGTCCACCCCTGAAGCTGGGCAGAGACATTCTCTCCACAATCAGGGGCCATGGCTGGAGGGTCAACAAGGCAAGGGGCTCCTGGCCATGTCCTTGCTGCTTCTGGAAAATCATGCAGGGCTAGAGATGCATGGCCTTAACGGGACTCAATGCCGCCTGTGCATTCCTCCCAGGAGTGAGCTGAGGCTCCGAGTAGGACCCCATGGGGGTTCAAGTTCAGACCTTGTGTGCTCCAGTCTAGTGCTCACCACTCCAGGCTCACACCCCATATCTCTTGAGCTTTTCCATTTTATGGTCACTGAGCTCAGCCCTTGCATCCATAAAACCCACTCAGTTTTCTCCGTCCCACAGTGATTTCTGCGTCCTCTGATCCTGTGATGGCCGTGTTTGTGTTTTCATTAGGTAATGAGTTGTGTGCTGATTTGGAACATGTTTTCTGTTATTGATTTAAAGTGCCATTAAAACTCAGTGTGAGCTGTGTTCCCCCCAGACCTGACCAGCCTGCTTTTAAATATAGGGTCACAATCACCATAGCGTTTCTTCGGGTCGTCTCCTTTTTGCGAGGTCGTGGCTCTCTTGCCTCTCCTGCCGTCAGTAGTTTGGGCAGTCCCCAGGGCATGTCCCCCATGTGGTGGTGAGCACAGTTCACGCAGCTGACCTGCAGTGTCTGCTCCTCTCTGTGGAGGTGAGCTCCCCACCGCCATTCCCACACCCCATGTTCTCAGCTCCTTCTTCCCTGTTTTGGATGCTGGGGGTTCTGGCTCCCTGCCGAGAGCCCGGGACTCTCCTGATTGCTGTTATGAGACCCTGGCCCCAAGCACAGCCCTGGAGAAGAAGGAGAAATGGCTCCTCTCATTCAGCCACAAGTCCAGAGCAGAACGTCCATGCTCTAAAGCTCTGAGGGGCTCCTGATGCCACCTCGTCTCTTCTGACGGGGATGTGCGGCAGCCACTGAAGCAAGCTCGCTCATCTCCTCTCTTCGTTCCTTCCAGTAAGTTCTTTCTCATGAGGCTTCTTACACAAAAGGATAGGGTCTTTCCAGAAGTCTTGAAGATAGGTCTTCAATCTGAGATAAATGTGACAGGGAGAGACAATGGCTGCGTTCGTGTGGGTCAAAGGTGGTCTGGATGGGACAAGGCTCCAGTTCCCAAGTCGGGTATTTGCTTTCCCTGGAGAAATCGGAGAAGAGACAGAGGACCCCCAGGCAAGGGATGTGTCCACCCTACCCTGGGATGCGCCTTGGTTTTTGGTGTTTTTTAGGGGCTGGCCAGGGCCCTTGGCTGCTGGAAGGCCATGGCTCTGCTGAGGACTAGAGCATCTTTCCTCTGACGTGCTGGCCCTGGAGGCTGCCGTGGTGCACACTGAAGTCAGGAGCACATGCCACTTTGAAGGATGAAGGAGGGTACCTGCCCAGACTTGCTGGTAGAACTGTGCTGCAAGAGCTGTGCTCACTTCCTTCTCTGCCAGCGTGTGTTTTCCTTGTCTGGGCAGAATGAAGCTCCAGCCTTCCAACGCCCATTTCTCGGGACTGGTGACACTACAGGGGGTCCAGTGCCTCCTGGTCCAGCTGAGCGACTGCCCCTCTGTTTGAGGTGCTCCCTGGTCAGAGCAGGGTAGTAGAGCTATCAGGAGCACTGTTATAAGAGGAGAGGGCTCTGGTCCCCATATCTGACTAATCACACTTCTTCCCTTCCGGGGTACGGCAGGCAGTATTTCTCCAAGGACGGCAGTGGCCTGTCTCCCACCCACATACTCTCAGGCCATGGGAACTGGATACTCCCCGACAAGAGCTGGGTCTAATTCCCCTCCCTTAGGTCTGGGCTGGCCTTATGAGTTGCTTGACGTTAATGGAAGCAGCGGGGGTGATTCTTTGTGACTTTCAGGTCTAGTTTCAGAAACGGCCATGCAGCTTTTGCTGATTCTGTTGGAAAGCTCACTCTTGCTTTCGGGAAGCAAGAAGTTTCTTCTTGGAACCCAGCCGCCACTCTGGGAGAAGCCCATGCCATAGGAAGAGGCCACATGTGGGCGCTCGGTGAACAGTCCAGCCGAGTCCAGCCTGAGAATGTTTCAGCCTGGATACCGAGATGTGTGTGAGGAAGCCTCCTATGACTCTGGCCCTTGGCCACTTGAGTGTTTCCAGCTAAGGCTCCTGGCACAGAGGAAAACCATCCTCTGGCCTGTTCCCATTTATGCAACGAGTTATGGGGAACACAGGCTCTATGAAAAAACACAACCAACAGACTTGTTCACCAACAGGGAAAGCCCAATGGTGTGCTTAGTTTAGGTCTCTGCAAAGCTGGGTTAGGCCTCAGTCAGGGCAGGAAACCAAAGTGCTGGTGACCTGCTCTTGCCTGCAGGTCCCCAGTCCCGGGGACTTGTGTGTGAAGTTTTGGGTCTCCAAGTGGACCCTGATTATGCAAACCTGGTCAGCCACACAGAGGGTCACAGGCTCAGGCCACCAGGTGAATGGATGCTGTGGCCACTGCCATCTGCCACCACCATCCGAGAAGCAAGGGGGACAGGGTGAAGAGGCCGACTAGATTCATCATGACACTTCCTCCTGGTGGAAATGAGGAGCCAGGGGAGTAAATGTGCACGTGATCTTCCCTGAGCTGGATCTGGGTTTGAAATCGTGTTCTGACATTTCCTTGTTCTGTGATCT